TTGCTGAGTAATATTCCACAGTGTATATGTACCACATCTTTTTAATCCAGTCATCTACTTTTGGGCATGGGGGTTGATTCCATGTCTTTCCTATTGTAAATAAAGCAGCAGTAAACATGGGGAGCACCCCACTTTTAAATTTAAAGTTCATAGATGGAATTATGTGCAAAATTTGTACTCATACATTTTTAATTATTATTTTTTGACATTAGGTTAGGCTGATACCCAAAGGGAACGTTGGTCTAAATTCTCCAGTCAGGAGAATTTAGTGTGCCTGCATGTGTCAGGCCTAGCTCAAGGTACTTAGCTTTTGAATCTTATCACTCCACACACCTGCAAGTAAGCATCCAAATCTTCACCTGGCAGGCTTGGAGGCCAGGCTCTGTGTGGCTTAGTGGTTGATGAAGCTGCTGTGGCCATTAAGATGAGAACCATCCTTCTGAGTGGTGGGTGGGCCTCTGCAGGGATGGCAAGGGAGGGGAACTGCCCTTCTGCTCGCTCTCCAGAACCTGGTCCCACCCCTGTCCTCTGGCTCCCACGTGTTCTTCTTCACAGTGCTGGCCCCAGCTTGCCTTCCGCCATGATTGGTGGCTAAAGTGTTGTTATATCTGGAACTTGCTCTCCTGACGACCTCCTGGCCAAGCCTCAGTACTTGTCAAAGCTCACCTCCCTCCCAGATGCATGTGACCTGGGGCCCCTGCTAGTGGTTAAAGAGCTGAGATCCCCCAGTCTCCCCTGCACTGCCTTGTCCAGGGTGGGCACGGTGCCCTCTTTCTGCTGGCACTGCATCGATCTTCCATGTTGGTTGGTTCATCAATGCTCTGGGTAATGTATTTTAATGAATTGTTATTCTGCTGGATGTGGCCCCAAAGGACTTTTTATCATGGAGGGCCCGGTCCTGAAACCGTAATAAATCATCCGCTCTCTCACAGTCACAGCGGACTGTGACTGGACAGGGCAGGGTCTCTGCTCATGGAGTCCTTGACTTTCTTTGGGTTCACTCGACCACCCTTTCCTTTCTTTCGTGGTTGGAGCATCTGTCCTGACACCTAATGAGTGTCCTATTAGTAAGGAAGCAGGGTCCTTAATCTCAGAGCTGACCACCTGGGGCAGGGGTTCTCAGGACACTCAGCCCATGTGTGCACTTGAAGCCCTGGAATGCTGGTTCTCAACTCCACCCTGGAGCCAGAGGGGAGGGCTCTGGAGTCCACATTTTCACAATCCCCAGAGGAGATCTAATGAAAATTAGAAAACAGCTGTCCTAAGGGCATATCACCTTAGCTCCCCTGCTTATTTCTTTTGTTCTTTTTTAAATGTGTGGGATGGGAGCATCTTTCCTTTCCTGTACCTGGGGCCTGGAGGGTGCCACACACGCTCCTCAGTTTGTGGAGGCCTCATCCAGGTCAGCTGGGACTTTGCCCCCAGCTCTCCAAAAGCATGACTCGCACATCACATCTGGATTAGGCAGCCCCAGAATAAGGGCCCCTGGGTGCCATGAGGCTCAGCCTTGAGGGTGGAGTCTGGGTCTGGGAGCAGCTGCTTGGGAAGAGCAAGGAGCCATTTTCAGGCAAAGCAAGTGGGTCCTTGAATTGACGGTGGACTTCGCATTTCCCTAGAGGAATGGGCCCACGAGCTGGGACAACCTGGCCACCTGTGCTGCCTGGACCTGGTGTTTCTCCTGCAATTTATCCTCGTCCTCCTTCGTCACCTGTGCCAGCCAGGCGGTTCTTACTCTGTCCTCTGCTTCCTTGCACTGGGTGTCCAGTTCCCTACGTCTGACATGGTTTCACCTTCACTGGCAGCACTGGGGGAGCCAGTTGGGTAGGTTAGATGGGCCGCGTGGCTCTGGTGACCCTCAGCTTCAGAGCCTTAAAGCCATATGCCCTCATCCCTCCATGTCCTCTCTCCTTCCTTCTGCATCTCATTCCTCCTTGATCTGTCTGCCTCTCTCTTCTGAGCTTCCTGCCTTAATAGATTGAAACCGACATAGTGTTCCGGCTTCTTGTGGTCCTGGTAAATAGCTCTTAATGTGGCCGGGGTGGATGAGGAGACGGGGTGACGAGCATGTGTGTATTGGGCTGGAGGTGGGGGTGCTTACCTTCATCTCTGGTGGGAGGGGCAGGGACACCCACAGCTCATGCTAATGTTCTGGGCTTGCATAGGCTGGGGCAGGGATGTGGATAGACTGGGACAGGGGGCCTCAGTTTCCCCCTTGATACAAAAAACCCACAAGCAGTGAATGAGCAGCCTGCGGCGATGAGGAGATTGCTGCCTCCTTGGAGGGGAGCAATAGACTTCCATTTGCACTGTGCAAACAGGACTTAATTACACAATTTGCACTTCTTCAATCTTCTCCTTTAGCATGAGTGGGCTGGCGGATATTGTTCCTGTTGTTGCTGCAAACAGCAGCCCATGTGGGGGTCAGTTACTTGGCAGGATCCGATTAATATTGACATTTTGCAAATCGATGAAGAGTGGGGCCTGGCCAGAAGGGCTGACAGCAAGTAGTGGTAATCAAGTGTGGATCCTCTCTGTGTCTGTGGGGATGCTTTCTTAGAAGGTCTCTTGCCAAAGGCTGTGCTCTGTGAACACTGGGGAGAGGCTGGAGCAGGTCGGGAAGGATGCCCTCGGATTTGCACTGGGTGGTTCCCCCTGCCTTCGAAGTATAAGTGGGGGAGCCACTGTCCAGTTCCGCTCTTGGCTTATTTCCTCCATTTCCCAGACCATGTTCGCATGGACTTGGGGTAATGAGGGTGCAGGGGGTGAGGGGATCTCTGGCACCGGGGGGCACTCAGGCATGTCGTGGTGCAGAGCAGGGCCAGGACCCAGGGTTGGACCTGCTTCTTCCAAGGCCCGCAGCTTTCTGACGCACTTACAGGGGAAGCAGTCTTCAGACTCCCACTGACAGGTCCCAGGGGCCCATCCTCAAGGGAGTTGCCCCCAAAAGCAGAGTGGGTACTGTCTTCAGTACTTTCCTCCTCTAGAAGCAGCCTATTGGGGTCTCTTTTATTAGGGAGGCACATGACATGAGGGGCAACCTTTCATCTGACAGCTGGACCCCCTTGAGGGAGGAGGACAGGCAGCCATGCCTCGCTGCCCTCTAGAAACCTGTGGAGTCTACACACAGGGGCCAGCTGCTGGAGATGCAGACCTGGCTTGGCCAGCATCCCCGTCCAGTTTGTGACCCTAACACTTGGGGCTGTGGGCAAGGTCCCAGAGCCTTAGGGAAAGCTGAAGGCAGACAGATGGTACTGGACAGTGGTGCAAATGGCCAGAGCACCCAGCACCCAGCACCCAGGGTCATGTGGGCACGGCCGGGCCTCTGCGAGCACTCGGTTACGTCACTCGCTTGGCCCGTGGTTTTTGTGTGCGTTGATCAGGATGTTCCTCTTTTGTGGCTGTCTGATCACTTGTTTTTGGCCGTGGGCTTCTGTATGGATGTTTATTTTTAGAGGCTGCTGCCACTTTTGGCCCCAGGGCTGATCCTTTTGGGCTTGGTAAGAGCCTGTGTTTTCTGAAATGTTTGTAGCTCTAAATTTTAAGTATTTGTTTGGGGTCGTGCTGTCTTTTATGGGTTGATTTCATGGTGTGTATGAATATGTGTGTGTGTGTGTGTTGGAGGAGTGCATAGAAATAATAAAATTTGTGTAGAATGTGGAATAAACTTTGTGTAGAGTGTAATAAACATTGCCTCGTCTTTAAAGTTCGCATTCAGCCCTAATTTTAAATTAGCTTTGATTTTAACTTAGTTTTAATTAAATGCATGCTGATTTAAACCTGGGCTTCCCCAGCTACGATGCACCTACAGATAACCGATCTTAGTTCCCAAACCTCAGCTTCTCGAGCGTCTTTACAACAGGCATCATGCTCCCCGAGACCGGGGTAGAATCATGTGCGTGAACTGCCCACTGTGTGTTTGGCGCGTAGTAGGTATTCGCTGGCACTTATTAGCTACTATAACTGACATTTGCATGTTTATTTCCATACCCCTGCTTCTGACGGAGCCACCCATCTGGCGTGCTCGGCAGGCACGCGTGTGGGTGTTGGATTTGGGTGAATGCTGGTTGGTGTGTGTGTGTCTGGATGTCTTTGTGTCTGGTTTTCTGTGTGTGAGTGTGAGTGTGACTGTGTCTGGGCTGGAATCTGTGCAGGGTTGGGGGGGGCTTTCTTTTCTTGCCAACTGGGGGTCTGCTTTGGAGTGCAGTGGTCGTGTGTGCGTGCGTGCGTGTGTGTGTGTGTGTGTGTGTGTGTGTTTCTGCGACTTGGGGCTGTAGCCAGCCTCTGACTGTACAGGGTGTGAAATCACTGAGTTCCTCAGGGTGGGGGGAGTTCTTCATTCTTGAGTCAGCTCTTTGGCCTCCAGCCACCCAGTGCTCACTTTTTCCTTTCAGCGAAAGTACCGCTCATGGGGTCCCCAGAGCAGCCTGTAGACAAAGTGACACAGGGATGCCTCTCCCTGATTAAAAAATAAATTTACTTTTTAAAAATTGAATTACAACTTGACTGAAGATAGTGCCTGATCTTAAGTATCTAGGATGATTTCTGTGTGTGCAAATGCTTACGCTGTCTCGCACCCAGATGATAATTCTGCCTTTGTATTCTGGATCCCTGAGATGCTACCCCCTCTCCAGGTTCCTGGACCCCCCTTTTAGAGCCCCCACGGGCCCCAGCATTCAGAAGGAAAGCCTATCCCCTTTGACAAGGGATTTCATCCTGTCCCAGCCAGTCCAGGTCCTTAGGAGCCAGTGAAATGCCAGCACCAGGCTCCCCCTGGCCCCAATCTTAGGCTTCACTGAACCTGGATATCGGAAGGCTCTGAAAGCCCACCGAGTGGGTCGTCTGTTCTTTCTCCTTTAGCTCCTTAGCTCTGTCTCGGGTGGGGAGAGGGGTTTTAAGTGCCAGGGACTGGCCCTCCACTCCTGTCCTTGCAGAGAAAGGTGTCCCTGCCTGCCACTGACGTCTGCTGTCTGCTGTCTCCCTTCTGCCTTTGTCTCTCGCAGAGGTGGTGGGACACACCCAGGGGCCGCTGGACGGGAGCCTGTACGCCAAGGTGAAGAAGAAGGACGGCCTGCAGGGCAGCGCCGGGGCGGTGGATGTGGCGCGGCCCACCCTGTCGGCCACCCCCAACCACGTGGAGCACACGCTCTCTGTGAGCAGCGACTCGGGCAACTCCACAGCCTCTACCAAGACAGACAAGACGGATGAGACCGCCCCCGGCCCCGCCAGTGCCGCGGCTGCCCTGAGTCCCGAGGAGAAGCGGGAGCTGGACCGCCTGCTCAGTGGCTTCGGCTTAGACCGAGAGAAGCAAGGCCACATGTACCACGCCCAGCATCTCCGGTCCCGCCCGGCGGGGGGCCCCACTGCGCCGCCCGCTGGCCGCCAGGTGGTCCCAGCCCAGGTTCACGTCAACGGCGGGGCCTTGGCATCTGAGCGCGAGACAGACATCCTGGACGATGAGCTGCCCAACCAGGATGGGCACAGCATGGGCAGCATGGGAACCCTGTCCTCCCTGGATGGCGTCACCAACATCAGTGAAGGGGGCTACCCAGAGGCCCTGACCCCACTGACCAATGGACTGGACAAGTCCTACCCTGCGGAACCTATGGTCAACGGCGGGGGCTATCCCTACGAGTCTGCCAGCCGGGTGGTGCCCACCCATGCCGGCCACTCGGCCCCCATGCGGCCCTCGTACTCTGCACAGGACGGTTTAGCAGGCTACCAGAGAGAGGGCCCCCACCCAGCCTGGCCACAGCCAGTGAACACCTCCCACTACGGCCATGACCCCAGCAGTATGTTCCGTTCTCAGTCCTTTCCGGACACGGAACCCCAGCTCCCCGCAGCTCCAGCTCGTGGGGGGAGCAGTCGAGAGGCTGTGCAGAGGGGCCTGAATTCCTGGCAGCAGCAGCAGCAGCAGCAGCAGCAGCAGCAGCAGCAGCAGCAGCAGCAGCAGCCTCGCCCTCCTCCTCGCCAGCAGGAAAGAGCTCATTTGGAGAGTCTTGGGCCCAGCAGGCGTAGCCCCCAGCCACTGGCACAGACCCCCATCCCTGGCCTCCCAGAGTTCCCGAGGGCAGCCTCCCAGAAGGAGATCGAGCAGTCCATCGAAACGCTCAACATGCTCATGCTGGACCTGGAACCGGCCTCCGCGGCTGCCCCCCTGCACAAGTCACAGAGCCTCCCAGGGGCCTGGCCAGGGGCTTCACCCCTCTCCTCACACCCCCTCTCTGGCTCCTCCCATCCACTGACCCAGTCCAGATCTGGCTACATCCCCAGTGGGCATTCCTTGGGAAGCCCAGAGCCGGCCCCACGGGCCTCCCTGGAGTCTGTCGCTCTTGGCAGATCTTACTCACCTTATGATTATCAGCCCAACCAGAGCTTCTGTCCAAAGAGCCCAGCCGCCTCCTCCTCTTCTGCCTTCCTGCCAAAGACCCACAGTCCTCCAGGGCCCCAGCAGCCCCCAGCCTCTCTCCCTGGCCTCACCACTCAGCAGCAGCTCTCACCAAAGGAGGTGACTTCAGACCCCTCCCGGACTCCAGAAGAGGAACCATTGAACCTGGAGGGGCTGGTGGCCCACCGGGTGGCAGGTGAGAGTCTCTGGGGCCATCAGTGTTGGACATTCCCTTCTTCCCCATCATCCCTTCCCTGTTGGGTCCTGCCTGGTCTTGCAGGGGGTGGGGTGGGGTCAAGTCACAGTTCTCATGCTTTGGCAGACACCGCTCTGGCCTGGGGAAGAGACTGCCAGGGGCCCACTGGCTTCCCTACCTCCTGCACTTATGTCTGTTAAGTTCCAAGAAAGGCTTTGAGATTCAAAGATTAATGTCTTTCAGATCCAGCCTTAAAATTAGGCTTTTGGTCTGGTGAGGGGTTAGGTACATAGACAAATTAATTTGTGGTGCCAAAGTCCCAGAGCCTGGAGAAAGAAAGAATAGGACTTGATTTCTACCTAGCGCTCTCAGGGAAAGCTTCATGGAGGTGTGACTTTGGGGATGGTATACAGATTTCTCAGGACAGAGAGGAGGCCCTGTCTGCATCTGCCTGCAGTACTGTCTCTCCTTAGATTTCAGTTTCTTGGGAAAGGTGTGGTGAGGTGGGAAGGAAGCCTCTGTAGCCTCCCCGGAGACACAGCAAAGTCTGAGTCTGAGTGGGTGCCTAAAGCCTCTGTTCAACCTGGTGGGTCCTGTTAGGATATTTCTGTTTGGGGAGGATATCTAGACCCTCTTTTTTTTCTTTTTTTCTTTCTTTCTTTTTTTTTTTTTTTTTGTTCAGCCATTCTGTTAGTTCTTGCTTTAGGACAGCTTGTCTGGGAGGCTGACCCTGAGAAATGACGTTCCATTTCCCAACAGCTCAAGGGGTCTTCTTTCTGTGGAGAGGGAAGAGTGGGGGCAATTCGAAGAACTTACTGGAGAGATAAATGCAAGAAATGGTAGCATCCACACTGAGGGGTAAAAGGGCTCCCTTCCTCCTCACTGTACTATTCCTGGAGAGCAACCCGGGCAGAAAATGCTGGGGTAGGCTTTGTTGTGGAGGTGAAGCCCAGGCGGGGGCCATCCAGAGACTGGGGCTGGGGTGGGGTGGGGCCTTTGTGCCAAGCCCCTCAGCTGACAGGATAGTGGGAGCTCAGGGAGGAGAAGATGAGCTTGGGCAGCTGACTCTGCCCTTTCCCTAAATTTAGGGGAAGCTGAGTCACCATGCCAGCTGCAGGGAAGGAGGGAGACACCCTCCCTGGGGATGGAAGTGGGGTTTGTGAAAGTAGCCAGAGGCAGCCAGCTGGCCACTGGGCTAGGTCCAGGACTAGGGTGTGGGTCCTGGATGCCCAGATCCTATACTTCAGAGTAGAACACAGCTTAACTCTGCGTAACTTGAAGTCGGCCCTAATGGAAGTATTCACACCACGGGATTGGCTCCACCTCCTCTGAAGAGCTGATCTAACAGCCCAGTTTTGGCCTAAAAGTCAAAACACAGATGAGTAGTTCTGTAACCCCCAGCTTTATGGAGTGGACCAGCTGGGACGCTATCTTCTACTTCCACCCACACCTGGGCCTCTGAGATAGCGATCCTTCAGCTTCTTTGTCTGCACACACCCATTTTCTCTTGGTTTTGTTGAAGAACAGGAATGTGGACCTCTCAATATTTGATAGAGTTGTACAGTAGCCTGGGGAATAGTATACTGTAGTTGAATGAGGAGCAGGATTTTAGGGGATTTTCTCTGGGGGAGCAGAATGAGCTTCTTCCCCTATCCGAGTCCCACTGTATCTCGCTCCAGGAGCTTGCTGAAGAAAAAGCCATCCCTGAACAGTCCACCTTGTAGCAGATCTATCCAGTCTTTTATTTCCTGTAGCTTTTGAAATCTTGACTGTCAACCCCCATACCCTATAGCTGTTCAAGCTTTGACTGCCAAAAGTCAAGGGAAGGGAGGGGTATTGTTGGCATTGTATCTTGATACCCAAGTCTTGCTGTTTTTTCCCAGCAGTTGTGAATGATTCATCAGGAGAAAGGCTGAGATACAGATGGGACAGTTATATCTGGCTCATAGTGTTCTATCGGGGCCTTCCCCTATTACGAATAGTATTTTTTATGTCAGTAGGTCCTGCCTATACAGTTTCCTTGGGAGCCCTGTAAGGTTTATGTAGACAAAGGCACTCAGGAAAGATCCATATGTAGAATGGTTTGGGAGCAAGGGAGGATGGATTTCAGTACCACCTATTTTTGAATATTCTACATTCTTGCGCAATAAGCTTCAACACGATGAACCCAAGTGCAGATCTGACACAGAGCTCCATCCATGCCCAGAGAACCTCTTCACTGCCATAAACTTGATCTGGTTTCTCTTAGCTTCTCTCCCTCAGGTGTGCCTTTTCCTCCTGTTTGTCCCCACAACTAAATACTGTGTCCCTGGTCATTACACTTTGATCCAAGCACTCTTTATATCTTATTTATGGCAGCTTAGATTGCAGAGAACGTGGGGATGCTTTTCCAAACCTGATAAAGGGTGGGTACAGAAATGTGTAGCACACCTCACACTTTCCAATGAATCATTAGAGGCATTCCCATTACACCAGGGAAAAATAAGGATGTCCGCTATCACCACCATCATTTAACTTTGTATTAGATGTCCTAGCCAGTGCAATAAGACAAGAAAAGAAATAAGAGTCAGAGTTGGTTGAGCCCAATCAAGTTATCTTGTGATCTTGATTCTGTGACTCGATTGATCTTGGGTAACTCTAGAGGTAGAAATTTCAGTGCCTGTTGGAAATCAGATGTGGATCTTATTCTTAAGTTCTAGAGTAAGGGGAAAGTGAACTGGAACTTTAAAATGAAGTCATTTATAGTAAGAGATATGAAGAGGGATTGAAGTAGAAAGGAGAGAGAATTATCAACTGAAGAGGTTGGGAAGAGAAGTTGGATAGGATTTTCAAAGAGGGTGGGGTTATTAGAGAGAGGATTCATAGTGAAGACAAGAAAGCATAGGAAATGCTTGAAGTACAAGTTAGATCAAAAGTATATATGCTACATGTAAGAGTTAAGAAAGGTAGTGTGAGGTCTGCCTCTGTTTGGTCTTAAATACCAGACTAAGGATCTTGAATTTACCTAATGGCAATGTGATAAAGCACTGATGTGTTTTAATCAGGGGAGCATGCCAGCATCAGAGGTACATTTGAGGAAGATGTCTCTGGTAGGAATGGACATGCAAGATGCAAAGTGGGAGAGAGACCTGGTGCTGGAAGATACAGGAACTTATTAGATAGCCTAGGTGAGGGGAGTTCGAATTAGGGTACTGACCTTGGAAATGATAAAAGAATAGATGGATTTAAAGGATGTTGTGGGGAGTAGAATATATTTACAAGCTAGTTGTATATAGTGGATGAGAGAGGGAGAGGAAGACATCAAAGATGATTCTGAAACATCAGTTGATAAAAACAGAATGATTATTCATTAACTAGCTAGGAGTTAGGAGGAACATATTTGGAGTGACGTCTGGACTTCAGTGTGGAGTTTGAGGTGACGGGGGCGAGGGAGGGGCAGTTCCAGGTTGATATGTACAGAAGGCAGTTGAAGAGTTGTATGGAAGAGTGAAAGAACTGTAGATTTTGGGGTCATCTCACAAAGATGAAAGCTTTGGGCATGGATGGAGCTCTTTGTCAGAGGATATGTAGTGAAAAGGACTTAGGATGGAATAACTATGAAGGGGATCTGGGCACCTAGAGAGCAGAGTGAATGTTTAGGGCAGCAAGAGGGTCTGGGATAATGGGTCATCACAGAAGTCAAGATAGGAAGTGCTTTCCAGAAAGGAGAGAGGAAGCAGTGTTGTGACAAGATCATGAGGAGGAGGTTGAGAAAAATTCACTGGGACTTGCCAGTTAGGTGGTCCCAGTGATTTTCAGTAGCATGGTTGTGACAGACCAGACTGGGAGAGGTTGGGGGTGCAGATAGCATATCACCTACTCTTTTGAGTAGTTTTGTAATAAAAAAGGAAGAGGAAGTAGCTAAAGAAGGTAGCAAGATATTGAGAACCTTTTTTGTAAATAAAGGTGTTGAGAATTTTTTAAATGTAAGAACCACGAGAGTATCTTTCAAAGAGAAAGAAAGGAAAGAGTTTGAATATGAAATGAAGAGAGAAGAAAGCAAGCAAGAAAGAAATGGATAGAATAAGATCTCTAATGAGGTAAAGTGAGATGGTCTTTGGAACTTGGGTGGATACTTGATGGTCTACCAGGAGGTGAGTTATCTTTTCATGATATTAAAATAAAGGATGGACACAGATACAGGAGATACTGGTAGCAAGCTTTGGGAGCTTAAATGATCAACTCAGCTTTTACATTTCATCAAGGACAGAGATGAAGTCAAGACCCAGTCAGTCTTTCATTTACCATGTGCAATTAATCAGTGCTACAAGCTAGGCCAGGCTCTAAAGAAAAGGTGACAAAAGCAATTGAAATCCTAGTCTTGGTGGAGATGGACAATTAGCTAATCTATGTATAATATATCAGATGGCCATACGTGCCATAGAGATAAATGAGGCAGCAAAGGGATATGAGGGGAGCAGGGGTGCGCTTTATATAGGATGATTGAAGAAGGCTTCATCTGGTGGCTGCCAGGTGGAGTAGGAAGTGCAAAGGGCCTGAGGTGGCAGTGTGTCCGACAAGGGGAATGTATGGGACATGAAGTCACAGAGGAGAGGGGCCAGCTTCCAGTGGGTGTTGTAGGTGATTGCACGAACTTTGGCTTTTACCCTGCATAGTGTGAGAAGCCTTAGAAAGGGCTTGGGTAGGAGAGTGACATCATCTGACTTGTTCTAAAGGAAGCAGTGTGGTGAGGACAGAAGCAGAGAGATCAGCGAGGAGGCTGCTTCTATTGATTAGGGTGGTAGCTGTTGACGAGGAGAAGTGCTGGGATTGTAGAGGTGTCAGGGCCTTCGAGATTTACAGACGCACTCAACATGGGATGTGAGCATGAGAAAAGGGCAACTCTCAGGTTTTGGACTTGAGCTACTCAAGGGTGGAGTTGTTGCTCTTTCCTGAACTGGCTGGGTGTGTGGGAAGAACCAGCTTGGACGGAATATCAGAAGTGCGATTTTGTCCACGCA